AAGGCTTGCTGACACAGAGTTCCAGTTACTGCACTTTTCATTGGGGGACGTGTGACATGTCAAATGGAAGCTTTAGAGTCAACTCTACTTGGTACTGATAGAATGGGCGAAGGAAGTAGATTTCCTTTTGTAAGGGTTCATCCATTGCACTGGAAACTTAGCTGCAACCGTGGCCTTCAAGTCTAATGGAAATAGGAAGCTATGGAATGACGCTCTATCTATCAGGTATGCCCCTGTCTGCCTTGGGGAACCAGGGGCAGGCCCCCCACTGTGAGGTCTGCAGTTTGTCAGCAGTGCCTGTATCCCTGAGGACAAACTGTGTCCCTGTGCTCCGCTACTTCAGAAGAAATCGTGACGGGGACTCTTCTGGTGGCTTGGTACGTGTGCTTTATGAAATGTCGTATTCAATTCTGTTTTATATACTGTTTATACCATACTAATAAAATTCTGCAAAATATGTCGTGCCGCGATTGGGTTTCATTTCTGATCATTTCAGCTCAGTTTTGGAATAATGGTTGTACCACAAGCTCAGGTCCCTGAGAGGAGAGCGGAGTCTGATGTACCTTGGAATGAGAGTAGTTTGGGCTCCACCTGCAGGTCGCTGCCTAATCCTCTTTTCGCAGTTAAGGTCAGCCCCACCTTAAGGGTCACAGAAAGCCCTTATGAATTCACCCTCCAAACGTGCCCCACCCTTGTGGTCTTTCAGCAGCCTCAGTTCCCCTCCCTGAATCACCCAGTACATGCCAGAAGAGCACCTTTTCCATATTGATAAAATTCTGAAAAATTAAACAGTAAAAAATAGCCCAGCTGCTATAGTTCAGTCATTGAGGGTTAACCTATGAACCAGGAGGTCACCGGTTCGATTCCTGGTCAGGGCACTTGGCCTGGTTGCGGGGTCGATCCCCAGTAGGTGGCGTGCAGGAGGCAGCCGATCTGTGAATCTCTCTTGTCATGTCATGCATGTTCCTCTCTCCCTATCTCTCTCTCTCTCTCTCTCTCTCTCTCTCTCTCTCTCTCTCTCTCCTACCATACCTCTCTGGAATCAATAAAAACATATTCTTTAAAAAAAACAAACAAATAGAAAAAAAATATATTCCATATATTCCCCAGCCAGAATGTTTAAGTGGTTGCTTCCTGCAGACGCCCCAATTGATGTGTCTCTCTCAAATTCATGTCTCTCTCTCTCTCTCTCTCTCTCTCTCTCTCTCTCTCTCTCTGTAAAGATCACTGGAATAAATATCCTTGGGTGAGAATTACCAACAAGCAAAAAAAAGTATCTACACTAATAAAAGAGAAACATGGTAATTAGCGTACGACCGCTACCCTTCCCATTGGCTAATCAGCATATCCTTATGCAAATTAACTGTCAGCCAAGATGGCAGCTGGCAGCCATGCACTGAAGCAAACAGGGAGGTTTGCTTGCTTCATTGACTGCGGACTCCAACGTTCCCCGCCTAACTTGCCGGCCTCTCAGCTGCAACTCTAAGCAACTATGTACTATGTTGCAAATAAGAAGCTAAACAAAACCCCAGAAACCAGCCGGACTGAAAGCCAGCCGGACTGCAACATTGTATCGATGTTTTCAGCAGCGAGGCCTCAGAGCTAAAGCTGGCCCAGAATAAAAAATAAAAAAAAAAAAGGAAAACAAGGAGCGGTTGGGAGGTTCAGTCACCCGCTTCCGGAAAACAGCCCTCAGCCCCTCACCCAGACTGGCCAGGCACCCCAGTGGGGACCCCCACCCTGATCCACGACACCCTTCAGGGCAAACCAGCCGGCCCCCACCCGTGCACCAGGCCTCTATTCTATATAGTAAAAGGGTAATATGCCTCCCAGCACCGGGATCAGCGGAGCAGCAAGGATCCCGGCACCGAGATCAGCGTGACAGGGGGGAGCTCCCCAACCCCCTGATCGCCCTGCGGCTCTGTGTGTGACAGGGGGCAGGGCCACAACCTCCCTATCCACCCTGCTCTGTGTGTGACAGGGTGCGGCGCCCCAACCCCCGCCGCCCCCCCACGGGCCCTGCTCTGTGTGTGACAGGGTAGAGCCATAACCTCTCCATCGGCCCTGCCCCGAGTGTGACAGTGGCGGCGCCCCAACCCCCTGATCCGCCCTGCTCTGTGGGTGATAGAGGGTGGCGCCCCAACTCCCCTATCGGCCCTACTCTGTGAGTGACAGGGGGGAGCTCCTCAACCCCCTGATCGGCCCTGCTCTGTGTGTGACAGGGTATGGAGCCCCAACCCCCCTGATGGGCCCTGCTCTGTGAGTGACAGGGGGCAGCGCCCCAACCCCCTGATCGGCCCTGCTCTGTGAGTGACAGGGGGCAGCGCCCCAACCCCCTGATCGGCCCTGCTCTGTGCATGACGGGGCGGAGCCCCAACTCCCCAATCGGCCCTGCTCTGAGCCTGACCAGGGGCTGCACCTAGGGATTGGACGTGCCCTCTGCCACCCGGGAGCAGGCCTAAGCCAGCAGGTCGTTATCTCCCGAGGGGTCCCAGACTGCGAGAGGGCACAGGCCGGGCTGGGGGACCCCCCTCCTCACCCCCCCGAGTGCACAAATTTTTGTGCACCGGGCCTCTAGTCCTATGTAATAAAAGCCCAGTATGCAAATCAGCCAAATGGCCTAACGACCTGTCGCTGTGACCCGCACTGACCACCAGGGGGCAGACGCTCAGCGCAGAGGATGCCCCCCTACAGACCCCAGGCGAGCCAAGGCAGGTGTCAGCAGGGTCCCCCCCGATTGCCCCGCCGGTCGCCCCACAGGTTGGGCCTGATCGACGGCCAGGTCTAGGGACCCTACCCGTGCAAGCATTTCATGCACCGGGCCTCTAGCACCTAAATGACTAACTACAGCAGTGGTTCTCAACCTGTGGGTCACGACGCTCTTTGGGGGTCGAACGACACTTTCCCCCGCATCGCCTAACACCATCGGAAAACACCTGTATAATTACATATTGTTTTTGTGATGAATCACGATGCCTTCATTATGTTCCATTTGTAACAATGAAAATACCTCCTGCATATCAGATATTTCCATGACCATTCATAACAGTAGGAACATGACAATGATGAAGTAGCCATGAGAATAATTTTATGGTTGGGGGTCACCACAACACGAGGAACTGTATGAAAGGGTCGTGGCCTTAGGAAGGTTGAGAACCGCTGCACTAGAGGAATGTCAGCCAGGGTTCAGGAAAAGGCCTCAATTTAGCGTTGGATGTTGTGTTTCAAAGGAAAGACGGCAAATCTGAAAAAAAGAAAAAGGCAGAGTGAATGAGGGGAGAAAGGTGTTTCAATGGGGTTAAGTCTCTTTTTTAAATATGGATATATATTTTTAGTGGATTTCAGAGAGGAAGGGAGAGGGAGATATAAACATCCACGATGCAGGAGAATCGTGGACCTGCCGTGGAGGGCGGAGGGCTGATGTGAGGCAGGCCCGACTGCTGGTGTGCAGGTGTGCAGGTGATGAGAGCACAAGGTCATTCAGCCATTCTTTCCAGAAGAACTGATGGAGGCCTTGCTCAGACCCTGCTCCGCGGGGACCCACAGACACAGGGACTAGTCCTGCCCTCGGTAGGGCTGAGCTGTTTGACTGCAGACAGATGGCGCTCTCTCCCTAGGCTCCCACTCTTCACCCTGTTCAGAAAGGTACCCTCACCCTGGCCCTCAGCTTCTTCACCTCCAGCTTCCTGTCTTCCTGATAATTGACCCGCTTATGCAAATGAATTTCACCTGCCTCAGCCTCAGTTTCCTCCTCCAGAAAGGGATTCAGGTAAGGGACAAGTGACCCTGCTCCCGCCACACAGGAAGCCCTCAAGTTGCCATTGGCTCCTGGGTCCCCCCGTGGGAGGGGCCAAACCCCGCCCCTAAGCCCTGCACGCCTGGCCCCGCCCTCGACGCTAGACCTTCTATAAAGCTGCTGCTGGGCTTGCTCAGCACCAGTTGGCTTGTGGCGGACCAGCGAGAAGGTCGCACGCACGTCCAAGCGCAAGCATTTCCGAAGCCTCACCCGCCAGGGACTGGGTGCCAGAAGCTGGTTCCCGGGAAAGGAAGCACTGTGAGGAGCGGGCCTCGGAGGAGAACCCTTCCAAAGCTCGCCCAAGCCCACGCCCCGCAGGTGTCTCTTCCACTGAGGGACGAGATGGAGGGACACCCCCGCGCATCCCACAGCTCTGAGCGCCCACGGAGAAAGCAAAGAGCGTCCTCGCCGCTCTCGAGGCCCCTCCCCAGGGCCGCACTTTCGTGACTGCTCGGAGGAGAGAAGGCCCGGCCACACAGAGCCTTCTGGCGGCAGAGGCCCGTCCCTTCCATGGGTGGCAGGTGCTCCCTGGATGTCTGAAGTCCATCGCCGGTCCCAGGCCCTGGCCCACGAGGCACCTCAGAGGCCTGCAGAAGGCCTCCGGGCAGCCTCTCCGGACAGGCACCTGGGGGCACCCCAGGGGAGAGGGGCTGTGAGTCGGAGAGGGGAGCGCCCGCCTTCCCACAAGGACAATCCCCCGCTGGGGGCCAAGGGCCAGGAGGAGCCCTCAGCTGGGAGCACCCAGAGACCTCACCCGGCCTCCGCCAGGGAGGAAAGCACACGGCCTCTCTGTGGAGAAGGAACCGGGGGAAAGCTGTCCTCTCATGGGGTCAAGAAGAGGAAGGAAAGAGGGGGCAGCAGCTCCCAGAAGTCTACGCCTCCATCGGAGGTGGCTTCAGACAACCCCGAGAAGAAGCGAAAGCACAAACACCCAGGGGAAATACAGTCGCACAAATATGAGCAGCGTCTACACGGCTTAGATGCAGGAAAGGGGCCAGGGGGCCTGCTGCCCACGGTTAGGGAGAAGGTTGGGGACAACCCCAGGACTTCAGAAGGGAATGTCAGAACTCCTCACCTGGGAAGGAAACCAGCAGGTCCCCCGTCTGAGATGGAGGAGGCAGTGGCCATGGCGGCGGCGGAGGAGGAGGAGGAGGAGGAGGAGGAGGAGGAGGAGAAGGAGGAGGAGGAATTTGACCCGCCCAGCATGTCCTTTGAGGGCTACCTCACCTACGACTGGCCTCCATCAGAAAAGGCTTCAGAAAACCCGGTGAAAAGGAAAAACCACAAACACTCAGGAACGAGCCAATCGGACAAAGCCAAACAGAGTCTACACGGCTCAGACGCAGGAAAGGGGGCAGGTGTCCTGCCGCCCAACGTGAGACAGAAGGTTGGCAGGAACCTCAAGACTCCAGAAGGGAAAGGCAAAACACCTCACTTGGGTAGGAAGCCAATAGGTCCCTCCCTTGAGGAAGAGGAGGAATTCCAGCCACCCACCATGTCTTTCCAGGAGGAGGACTTCACCTACGACCCGCGTCCATCACAGGTGGCCTCAGGCATCCCGACCCTTCTATGGGTGGCAGGTGCTCCTTGGATGTCTGGGGCCCCATCGGAGGTGGCTTCAGAAAATCCCCTGAAAAAGGGAAAGCACAAACACTCTAGCCAAAGCCAGTCAGACAAAGACCAGCAGCGTCTACAAGGCTTAGGTGCAGGGGAGGGGCAAGGCGGCCTGCTGCCCAAGGTGAGGGAGAAGGATGGGGACACGTGCCAGACTCCAGAAGGGAAGGTCAAAACTCCACACTTGGGAAGGAAGGCGGCGGGGCCCCCGCCTGAAGTGGAGCAGGAATTAGACGCGTCCAGCATGTCTTCTGAGGCCTTCCACACCCACCACCAGCCACCCGCCAGGAAAGAGAGGAAGATTGTCAAGGCTCCAGCCACTGCGCCAGAAGGAATGAGTCTGAGGAAAGAGGAAACGACCAGCGCCCAGGCAGAGATGGGCAAGTCTGAAAAGCGACAGCCACCTGCAGCAGCGGGGGCCAGGCTCCCACTGGTGCCCCCTGCCGGGTCACCCGCCTGGCCAGACCTCGGGCTCTGTCCCGGCCAGGTCAGTGACCCCCCACTTCCTGCCTTTGCGTCCACGTCCTCCTTCCAACCCAGGCCAAGGGCGCCGCCTTCCCCTAGCAAAGAGGAAGCAGCTCGGCTGATGGGAATCAGGGTGCACTCCAGGACACCGGTGTTCTCTGGGTCCAAGAGGGCTGGTGGGAACAAAATGATCACGATGCTCCAGCAGGGTGTCCAGACCCCGCAGAACAACGTCAACTTGCTCTCTCAACTGAGAGGAGTCCCGTGTTCTCTTCTCCAACACGCTGTGGAGAGTGACCCATCTGAGGAGCCACCTGGCCTGGAGGAACACCATGAAGCACCAGCTGCAGAGACAGATCCCTTCTGGAAGCAGCAGCAGTGTCACGGCGCCTTGGAGAAAGCAAGGCGGGAAGAACACACGGCACAGCTGCAGCCCCAAGAGCAGGAGGTCCCAGAACTGGTCCTGCACCTCAGCGCCAACAGGCCCCAGGACCCACCAGCAAAGAGGGCTATTTCAGAATCGTCTGAAAGAGGAGCAGCAGGAGCAGCTGTCCAGGAAAAAGCCCCGCCTGCCCCAGCCCCCGCAGCAGACACCCGGGCTCCCTCTGACCCTGCCCGTCGCCACAGCTGTCACCCCATCCCTGGGAAGCGGGTGGTCAGCGGCCAGAAGAAGCCTGTGAAGAAGATGGCACCGCTGATGGCCAAGTCCATTAAAGATTACAAGAAGTGGACCTACTTCCTACGATGAGGCCCGGGCTTGCCCTGGAGATGGGAATTGGAAGGAGGCCTGCGAGCACAGTGAGGGAGTGCTCCTTCCACAGGAGACCAGCATCTTGGCGTTGTGGGAACTCTTGGATGTGACTGCCATCGATTTCCAGGGTTGCACCTGTGCACCTTCCTGCCAGCCCAGTCGGCAGAGCTTGTGAGCCCTTGCATGCATACACCACACACAGAGAAGGATCTGGACCCACAGAGGACAGCTTTTGTATATCTGGGTGGTGGGAATGTGGTGCACTTATTGGACTTATGATCACTTCCTGAAATTTGATTTGCAAGTCTGTAACTATCCATGCATTACCAGAACTGCAATGTATACTACTGCGACTGGTGATCACAGTCATTACTGTCAGGAATTCTTAGATTTGATCAAGACAAAGACTGGGTTACCTTTAAAACCCTCTGAGCATATTGAACACAATGATAAGGCTCAGGAACTCTCACTTCTCACTAATTCTAACACTTGGGGTAGCCTTCAAACCCCGAATGGCAAGGGAAATACAGACTTCTCAGCGAATAAGGTTAAGGCCACGGCAAATCTGAGGGGAAAACTCAAAGGTATGCCTATGGAATCGTCCAAGAGACCAAATCACTTCACATATAGACAGAACAAGGCGGAGCATCCACGGAGCTCCCCGATTTGCTCAAGGGGTCAGAGCAGGTTCATTCCTGGGGATGAGCTGCCATCTATTTCGTTCTTCTCTAGTCAAAGCGATGGAGCCAGTGTGGCGACTGTGCAGTTGTGCTTTGGGGCAGGAATCAGAAAGGTACTGAAACGGAGTCCTTGTAGGGTGAAGGGAAGTGCCCTCAAGAACTCTGGAGGGCGGAGGGCTGATGTGAGGCAGGCCCGACTGCTGGTGTGCAGGTGTGCAGGTGATGAGAGCACAAGGTCATTCAGCCATTCTTTCCAGAAGAACTGATGGAGGCCTTGCTCAGACCCTGCTCCGCGGGGACCCACAGACACAGGGACTAGTCCTGCCCTCGGTAGGGCTAAGCTGTTTGACTGCAGACAGATGGCGTTCTCTCCCTAGGCTCCCACTCTTCACCCTGTTCAGAAAGGTACCCTCACCCTGGCCCTCAGCTTCTTCACCTCCAGCTTCCTGTCTTTCTGATAATTGCGCCGCTTATGCAAATGAATTTCACCTGCCTCAGCCTCAGTTTCCTCCTCCAGAAAGGGATTCAGGTAACCGACAAGTGACCCTGCTCCCGCCACACAGGAAGCCCTCAAGGTTCCATTGGCTCCTGGGTCCCCCGTGGGAGGGGCCAAACCCCGCCCCTAACCCCTGCACGCCTGGCCCCGCCCTCGACGCTAGACCTTCTAAAAAGCTGCTGCTGGGCCTGCTCAGCACCAGTTGGCTTGTGGCGGCCCAGCGAGAAGGTCGCACGCACGTCCAAGCGCAACCATTTCCGAAGTCTCACCCGCCAGGGACTGGGTGCCAGAAGCTGGTTCCCGGGAAAGGAAGCACTGTGAGGAGCGGGCGTCGGAGGAGAACCCTTGCAAAGCTCCCCGAAGCCCACGCCCCGCAGGTGTCTCTTCCACTGGGGCACGAGATGGAGGGACACCCCAGCGCATCCCGTGGCGCATCCCACAGCTCTGAGCGCCCACGGAGAAAGCAAAGAGCGTCCTCGCCTCTCACGAGGCCCCTCCCAGGGCCGCACTTTCGTGACTGCTGGGAGGAGAGAAGGCCCGGCCACACGGAGCCCTCTGGCGGCAGAGGCCCGTCCCTTCCATGGGTGGCAGGTGCTCCCTGGATGTCTGGAGTCCATCGCCGGTCCCAGGCCCTGGCTCACGAGGCACCTCAGAGGCCTGCAGAAGGCCGCTGGGCAGCCTCTCCGGACAGGCACCTGGGGGCACCCCAGGGGAGAGGGGCTGTGAGTCGGAGAGGGGAGCGCCCGCCTTCCCACAAGGACAATCCCCCGCTGGGGGCCAAGGGCCAGGAGGAGCCCTCAGCTGGGAGCACCCAGAGACCTCACCCGGCCTCCGCCAGGGAGGAAAGCACACGGCCTCTCTGCGGAGAAGGACCCGGGGGAAAGCTGTCCTCTCATGGGGTCAAGAAGAGGAAGGAAAGAGGGGGCAGCAGCCCCCAGAAGTCTCCGCCTCCATCGGAGGTGGCTTCAGACAACCCCGAGAAGAAGCGAAAGCACAAACACTCAGGGGAAATACAGTCGCACAAATATGAGCAGCAGCAGCAGCAGCGTCTACACGGCTTAGATGCAGGAAAGGGGCCAGGGGGCCTGCTCCCCGCGGTTAGGGAGAAGGTTGGGGACAACCCCAGGACTCCAAAAGGGAATGTCAGAACTCCTCACCTGGGAAGGAAACCAGCAGGTATCCCTTCTGAGATGGAGGAGGCATTGGCCATGGCGGCGGCTGCGGAGGCCGGCGGGGGCGGAGGCCTGCGGTGGCAGCAGCTGAGGAGGAGGAGGAGGAGGAGGAGGAACAGGAGGAATTCGACCCGCCCAGCATGTCCTTTGAGGCCTACCTCACCTACGACTGGCATCCATCAGAAAAGGCTTCAAAAAACCCGGTGAAAAGGCAAAACCACAAACATTCAGGAACGAGCCAATCGGACAAAGCCAAACAGAGTCTACACGGCTCAGACGCAGGAAAGGGGGCAGGTGTCCTGCCGCCCAAGGTGAGACAGAAGGTTGGGAGGAACCTCAAGACTCCAGAAGGGAAAGGCAAAACACCTCACTTGGGTAGGAAGCCAATAGGTCCCTCCCTTGAGGAAGAGGAGGAATTCCAGCCACCCGCCATGTCTTTCCAGGAGGAGGACTTCACCTACGACCCGCGTCCATCACAGGTGGCCTCAGGCATCCCGACCCTTCTATGGGTGGCAGGTGCTCCTTGGATGTCTGGGGCCCCATCGGAGGTGGCTTCAGAAAATCCCCTGAAAAAGGGAAAGCGCAAACACTCTAGCCAAAGCCAGTCAGACAAAGACCAGCAGCGTCTACAAGGCTTAGGTGCAGGGGAGGGGCAAGGCGGCCTGCTGCCCAAGGTGAGGGAGAAGGATGGGGACACGTGCCAGACTCCAGAAGGGAAGGTCAAAACTCCACACTTGGGAAGGAAGGCGGCGGGGCCCCCGCCTGAAGTGGAGCAGGAATTAGACGCGCCCAGCATGTCTTCTGAGGCCTTGCACACCCACCACCAGCCACCCGCCAGGAAAGAGAGGAAGATTGTCAAGGCTCCAGCCACTGCGCCGGAAGGAATGAGTCTGAGGAAAGAGGAAACGACCAGCGCCCAGGCAGAGATGGGCAAGTCTGAAAAGCGACAGCCACCTGCAGCAGCGGGGGCCAGGCTCCCACTGGTGCCCCCTGCCAGGTCACCCGCCTGGCCAGACCTCGGGCTCTGTCCCGGCCAGGTCAGTGACCCCCCACTTCCTGCCTTTGCGTCCACGTCCTCCTTCCAACCCAGGCCAAGGGCGCCGCCTTCCCCTAGCAAAGAGGAAGCAGCTCGGCTGATGGGAATCAGGGTGCACTCCAGGACACCGGTGTTCTCTGGGTCCAAGAGGGCTTGTCGGCGCAAAATGATCACGATGCTCCAGCAGGGTGTCCAGACCCCGCAGAACAACATCAACTTGCTCTCTCAACTGAGAGGAGTCCCGTGTTCTCTTCTCCAACACGCTGTGGAGAGTGACACACCTGAGGAGCCGCCTGGCCTGGAGGAACACCATGAAGCACCAGCTGCAGAGACAGATCCCTTATGGAAGCAGCAGCAGTGTCACCGCGCCTTGGAGAAAGCAAGGCGGGAAGAACACACGGCACAGCTGCAGCCCCAAGAGCAGGAGGTCCCAGAACTGGCCCTGCACCTCAGCGCCAACAGGCCCCAGGGCCTACCAGCAAAGAGGGCTTTTTCAGAATCGTCTGAAAGAGGAGCAGCAGGAGCAGCTGTCCAGGAAAAAGCCCCGCCTGCCCCAGCCCCCGCAGCAGACACCCGGGCTCCCTCTGACCCTGCCCGTCGCCACAGCTGTCACCCCATCCCTGGGAAGCGGGTGGTCAGCGGCCAGAAGAAGCCTGTGAAGAAGATGGCACCGCTGATGGCCAAGTCCATTAAAGATTACAAGAAGTGGACCTACTTCCTACGATGAGGCCCGGGCTTGCCCTGGAGATGGGAATTGGAAGGAGGCCTGCGAGCACAGTGAGGGAGTGCTCCTTCCACAGGAGACCAGCATCTTGGCGTTGTGGGAACTCTTGGATGTGACTGCCATCGATTTCCAGGGTTGCACCTGTGCACCTTCCTGCCAGCGCAGTCGGCAGAGCTTGTGAGCCCTTGCATGCATACACCACACACAGAGAAGGATCTGGACCCACAGAGGACAGCTTTTGTATATCTGGGTGGTGGGAATGCGGTGCACTTATTGGACTTATGATCACTTCCTGAAATTTGATGCCCAAGTCTGTAACTATCCATGCATTACCAGAACTGCAATGTATACTACTGCGACTGGTGATCACAGTCATTACTGTCAGGAATTCTTAGATTTGATCAAGACAAAGACTGGGTTACCTTTAAAACCCTCTGAGCATATTGAACACAATGATAAGGCTCAGGAACTCTCACTTCTCACTAATTCTAACACTTGGGGTAGCCTTCAAACCCCGAATGGCAAGGGAAATACAGACTTCTCAGCGAATAAGGTTAAGGCCACGGCAAATCTGAGGGGAAAACTCAAAGGTATGCCTATGGAATCGTCCAAGAGACCAAATCACTTCACATATAGACAGAACAAGGCGGAGCATCCACGGAGCTCCCCGATTTGCTCAAGGGGTCAGAGCAGGTTCATTCCTGGGGATGAGCTGCCATCTATTTCGTTCTTCTCTAGTCAAAGCGATGGAGCCAGTGTGGCGACTGTGCAGTTGTGCTTTGGGGCAGGAATCAGAAAGGTACTGAAACGGAGTCCTTGTAGGGTGAAGGGAAGTGCCCTCAAGAACTCTGGAGGGCGAAGTACTGATTACACCCAGCCCTGACTGCCG